TCAAAAATAATGCAATGCTTAAATTTTTTACTAATTATAATTAGTAAAAAATTTAAGCATTGCATTATTTTTGATTATTACTGTAAATATTTAAATATAATAAAATATAAAAAAATAAAATATTAATATTAATATAAGGATTATTAGATAATATTTTTATAAAATTAAAAAAAAATATATTAATAAAATTATAAACTCTCTTTTTATAAAAAATTCTCAGAAAAAATAATTATAATAAATGAAAAGATATTTAAAATTTTAATTAAAATCAGATTATTAAATAAAAATACTTTTTAATAATTTTTATTAAAAAAAAATTATTAATAATTTATTAAGAGAATAAAAATATTTTTTAGTTTTAGAATTTGATGAGTTAATATATTTTTAATAAAATCTTGATGCTAATTTTATGTATGAAATTTACAAAAAGAGTTTTTTATCTTTTATTTCTAAGTTTTTTAATAAGAATAACTTAGACTGATTTTTATAAGAAAATAATAATTTTAAGTATTATTTAAGAATTACAAAAATTAAAAAATGAAAAAAATAATTCTAGTTATCAATATTTTTAAAATTAAAATCTTATAAAAAATATATGATATGTTATGAAATTAAATCTTAAAAAAAATTTATATAATTAATAAATTAAAAAGAGAACTAATAAAAGAGTAAAATCATTTTTCATCAAAACTTATTATAAAATTAGTAGATAATATAAAATATTATACAATAATACTAATAGAATTCAATAATAACTATATTATATACTATTATTTATATTATTTTTATAAAAAATATAATTATGATTTGTTTAATTTTTGAAAGAATTAGAAAGATATAGCTATTTATGATCACTATTATATATTTAATTATAAATAACAAGTTTTTTTTATTTTATTTATAAAATAATTTTTAATTATATTATTATTAATTTGAAAAAAATTATTACTAGTATGAATTTTAAAAATATAATTTTATTATTTAATTAGCTTTTTAAAATATAATGAGAATTATTAAGTTAAATTATTATAATATAAATTAATATAATTAATTATATAAGAAAGAAAAATTAACCTATTATACTAAATTTAAGAAAAATTAGAATATTATAACAAATTAAATATTGTGACAAAGTATAATATTTTGCTATCTAATTGATCAAAATTACATAAAAATATTATTATTCAATTTATCATATCTAAATAAATTAAATGATTATATTTTTATAAATTCTGACTAAATTAATTATTAACTTGGCATATAATAACATGTCTAGATAAATCAAATGGTGATATTTTCACATGATTATAATTGCTAAGTGATGAGATACTGTATTTAAAAATTATTATATGGAAAAAATCTAGTGTTCCGAATCATGTGAAAATACACCATTTCGTATATTCGAATCGCCAGTTATCATGTATGTATTGATCATTTTCACCCCAAAATGATTCATTATACTACGATTTGTTGTGTCAAATTCTAATTTGTGTGCTTTTATGAATGTACCAAAGTCATTTTTTCAATTAATAAAATTTTATTATAATAACTTTAACTTCGTCATAATACCTGATCTCCCTTAAATTTTGATCAACCCGGTTTGAATCTTCAAACTTGACTGCAACCTAACCTTTCTTAAAATCGAACTTAAGAAGTTATAGTCATAGAATTTTCCGTGATCGACAAAACCTGGTACAGATTTAAACTAGCTCGTCCCAAGGCGTCAATATATGAGACAAAAAAGTAGAACTAGACTTAAAAAATTTATCAACAAGGTAATAGATGACCAATTAAATTAATTGATGATAATTGCGATGCATGAATTTATTTTTTTTAAATTTTCTAAAAATCATAATAAATTACAATTGCTATCTAGCTGTTGATCAAGTGAAATGCAAATAAACAACTTTGATGCCAAATTATATAAAAATTAACATAAAAAACAAACACATGTCTTCTATGGAGTGGAAAAAATCAGTTGCTATATACACAAAAAAATTAAAAAATTATATAATAATAATTTAAAAGATAGAATTCAGAGTTTGAAGATGCGAAAATAATGGAATTGAGATTATAGGAGTCGGAGTTGGAGTTGCGATGACAATAATAGTAGTAATTAATGGAGAAATAAATTAAATAATAAAAGTACAAATTGTAACAATAAATCAGTAAATAATAAAATCTATTAATAGTCCTAAGATTAAAATTGCAGCAATAAAAATCAAAATATGGTCGACTTCAACTCCAACACCTATTCCTTGTCCCCCTCAACTCATAAACTCAGTCTTCTTAAATTTCACAAACAATAAATGATGAAAATGATGATGATGATGATGATTATTGTTCTATTGTCGGTGAGCTATATGAAGTCCAATACCAGATTGCCATTCCGAATATTAATATAATTAAAAAGAGCGAAACAAATGACATGATCCTGTTATATTTTCGCCATCTACGCTCAAATATGTATGTCGGATGTCTCGGGAATATAGACCCGATCCACCATAGTGGAGGCAACAAAAATCCAAACACAAAGAGTATTGAGCCAAGAGGGCAGATAACGATTGGATCTTTCTCTATTACTATTGTTCTACGATATATTGATGGCTGTCTATTTTCAATTGATGATTGCTGCTGAGATGGAGTCAAATATGATCGTGCACTTTTTCGTGATGGTTGTCGTTCACTATTTTTATTTTCTTGTAGTTTTCTCGATAATTCTTCCATTTCCGCTCCCGCACGTGAAGTAGAAGCTTCTGGTGGTTGCGAAATTTCTGCGGTATCTGATGTGTAAAATTTATATGTCCATGATGGTAATGAATCTTCTGAACCTTTCGAATCCCGTTTATTATTAGAATCCGAATGTGAATGTCCTTGCGCTTTATTATTATCTATTATTTTCGCTGGTTCTATCGGAATTATAACTTCTTGTGATCGTTTCTCCCCAAGCGGATCGGTCGGAGTTATCGGTGTAATTGTCGTATTTATTGAGGAGGCTGATGTTTTTGATCCTTCAGTTGCTAATGCTGAATTATTAATTTTTGAGAATATTAATGTAGCTCGTGTTTTTTTATTATTAATATTATTATTACTATTAACAGAATTATTATAATTACTACTATTATTACTTTGAATACTTTTATGGGTTCCACCCCTCAGTAATGGCCTGGTTGCTGAAGTGTTTTCGTAGGCTGCAGTGGTGGCGGAAGAGTTGCTTTTTCCATAACCTCTTTCTATCAATAGGTTCTCCGTTACCTCGTAAGGCCAATCACCTGGCTTCACTTCATGGATCGGTCGATAAATTAACGGAGGTTGTGTAATAGAGGTAAGTACGGGGACCCGCCCCTCTGCGGAAAGTCTCCTTGGTTCTGCCGTGTTTAATTAGAATGTATGCTAACTAAGGAAGGGGGGGGGGGGGGCTAGGCCAATCTATTGAACCAACACGCAAACTAATTTTGAAAAAAAGTGGCAGTATTTATGGAAAAAGGTAGAGGAAAAAAGTTTGCGGGAAGTATGTTGGTGTCTGTAGTTCTATGCAGTCCGTTATGTTTTTTGACACCGGGGAAAATCAAACTTTGATAAAAGTAGGAGGCTGCAGTATTGTTTTCTAGAAGGTGTGTGTAATGTATGAGAAAGAGGCGAAAAAAGTGAAAGTTTGCGGAAAAAAGAGTGGACAAGCTAGGTTAAGAAGCTCGAGAAGCAGGTTTGGTCGCTCCAAAAGACCTTTTTGGCATGGTGTTTCGAAGTTGACGACTATTACTAACTAACTAGTTAGTCTTGGTGATACCAGAAACTGAAACCCAAAAGTTACCAGTTTTTATAGGAGTACAGTATAAATAGTATAAATGTGTGCTATGCTATCGAAAATATAAAAAAGATTTTTTTTTCTATTTTCCATTTTCAGGGCGCCTACGGGCAACATATAATAATAATACACTTGTTGTATTATTATTATTATTATTATATTGTGTAACGATGAATGCATATGGCACACGCTAGCGTTAATAAAACTTTATAATTCGAATCTGGAAATAAATTCGTGTTACCATCACTATTTTGATTATCATAACTGTTGTTATCATTATTTGCTGCACAACTCGCACATGCACACACAACACGCACATGCACACGGAAATGATGATTCAACAATGAATAGGATCTCGTTTTTTATTGTTGGATTAGATGAGCTCTTAGATGAGCTCATCATAATTGGTAAATATATACCACTAAAAATATCGACCATAGCAAATCCACAATGATGAGGAAATTTTAATTTTAGCATTTTTCCACGAGGGAAAAAAACCAAGTCAAAATTATTTTTTATGAAAAAAAAAATGATGGAATAAAGGTAGTAAATAACAAATCATCATAGTAATAAAATAATGATGTCATAATCGTGATTACGATCATGACGTTGAATATAATCCGTTAGGATCAAAAGTTCATCTGAAATTTCCCATAAAGCTTAATATTTGTCCGAGAATTTTTTAACAAATCACACAATCTTCCTTTTTTTCTTTCTTCTCATCAATTGGTACACCTTTTAATCTTTGTTGAGCTCGTTTATCACCATGTTCTGCAGCACGACGAAACCAAACATTTGCATCTAGTTGATCTTTTTTTGTACCGATTCCAACTTCTGTAAAATAACCGACAGCATATTCTGCTTTCGGTAACCCTAGATCTGCCGCGCGTTTTGCCCAAAGATACGCTTCCGCATCACTTTGCGGAAGAACACCCGGACTCCCCACCAAATACCAGGCGGCCAATGCAAAACAAGCTTCTTTATGATCTTGTTGTGCTGCTATTGTGTAGTAATGAATTGAGAGTGCTGCATCTTGAGAACATCCCATTTTTCCATATTCATAACATTCACCAAGTTTAAATGCTGATGGAGCATAATTCAGTTCCGCAGCACGAGCAAGTAATTGTACCGCGTATTCAATATCCACAAATAACACATTCTCTAGACCTTGTTCGTGAAGTTCGGCGAGTTCATGTAACGCATGTGGAAATTCTTCATCGGCCGCGTCAGCTGATCTTTTCAGCCATTTGCAGCCATCGCGTGGATTCTTTGCTAATCCTAGTTCTCCCCTTAACTCGGCTATTCCAAGTCGGTACATTGCACCAGCATGACCTGGCGCTGCTTTTCTATATTTCGAATAAAGCAAACCTAAATTGTTATAAATTAATTTGATCAGGTATTAAAGATTTGAAATCCCACAATACCTGTAAAATTGTAACGCTTTTGCCGCATCTTTTCGACAACCCCAACCATGTTCATAACACATAGCAGCACGATATGCAGCAGCACGACATGCATTTTCCGGATAAGGATGCTTATTATTACCCTGAATATGCTTACTAGCTTGAATGAACAGTGCAAAGGCCTTATCAAAATCAGGTTTAGATTTCGAAGTGCCGATCCCTCTCGCATAACAATCTCCAAGATAGTACTGTGATTCCGCGTGACCTTTATCCGCTAATTTTTTCAACAACGATATTCCTTCTTTTAATAGTTCTTCCCTTTCTTTCGGATCCTCTGTCATTGCATTCGAGGTATCAATAACGAAAGCAGCGAATTGGAATTGAAGCTCTGGGTCGTTAGTTTTTTTGGCATTTTGTCGGTATAGTTCGAGCGTTTGTGCGTGTGAAAGCAACGAGGCCTTGTGACCCGGTTTGAGATGGGATTGATCCAGTACAGGTTGTTCTAAGACTCCAACAAAGGAGACGGGACGTGACGTTTCTGGAGTTATTGTTGAAGTTGTCAAGGACATTATGTAGTCTCCTGAAAAAGGGAGCAAATACCAGTATTTGGTGGTAAATATTTGACCAGAAGGCTTAAATATCAGAGAAGATATAAGACGTTAAGGTATAATGTATCACACGCGCGTAAATTTTAAAAACTCTCAAACGGGGAAAAGAATGATGAAAAAGCAGATTCGTACTCTTATTTGATAAGTAATCTAGGTGATACAGATGCTCGAATAGAAAAATAAATTTCATCCAATGAAAAACCAATTTCAGTCTTGATGGTATTTTGACCGGCGCACAGATCAGCTTTGATTGATTGATCAAGAGCAATTTATAATTCAGCACACGAATGAAAATTATTCCCCTATTAAGAGCAAAAATTTTTTAATCACCCAATCTGGCTCTTATATATAGAGACGTGATTATGGATGGAGCGCAGCAATGTCTTCTTTCCAGAAGGAGGTTAACTACAACGATACCGCGAGTAAATGAAAAATGACGTGTGTTATTCTTTTGGACTAATCTTTTTAAATATTTTCTATAATGCACGTTTTTTAAAATTTCTGCCTGGTGAGTTTCTCACACTATAAAACTATTCACGATAAAAAATGAAAAGTTGTTCCACACGGGTTTGAGAGAATTGGCCAGGCTTGTGCGACAATATCAGTGTACCTTCCGTTTTTTGATCCGGTCTTCATACCGATCCTCATATTCGCTATTTATTAACTACAATCGGAACGAGGCAGTTTGATTTATACCAAATGACAGTGTTTGGAAAAAAATAGTTTCAAAAGAGTTAGCGAACATGTTGAATGTGAAAACACTTCTCGATCCATTTCGAAAATAAAAATGTGCTTGATCGTTACCTTTGCATATGTTAGGAAATTATGCATGTGGTATGACGCTTCTAAATATGTGTCATTTGACTGGTTTTTTTCTTCGAACAGCTCATTTTATGCATATAAAAAGGTTGGACTGTTATTGATTATTGCCGTTTCAAATTATCAAAGTAAAAACATTCAATAAAAATGCATTTCTTAAAAAATCAGTATTTTTTATTTTTTTTTAATGTACAAGAATAAACCATTTTAATAGACATTTGTATTGACAAAACAATATAATTTTAGAAAATTCTTGTCATAATCGGTATAATGTTTCATAACCAAAATAACGATTGGCTTCTCTTTAAGTTTATATTATATATGTCGCAAGAAACTGAACTTGGCGCTCTTCGTTATATCAAGAATCAATATGTATTTGAGAATTTTTCATCATCAATCAATTACAAGTTCTTGGAAAGTTATATTTACTAACAAAATCTTTTAAATACATTGCTTTATACAGTTATCACATGATTGACTGGATTTTATCATGCAAAATTACATGATTAGTTTTATATAAAATTCTAATTAGCATTATATATACAAGTCACTTTTATTATAGTAAAATCTTAATATACTGAAAATTTAATATAATTTTAAATTATAATATTATTAAACTTTATATAATAAAATATATATAATATTTTCTTATTATAAATTATAATAAAATTTTTTTTTAATTTAATAACTTTATTATAATAAGAATTACTTATAATAATTAAAATAAAAGATATATATTTATTTATATATTATATAATTATATCTTTCTAAGTGCATTTTTTTTTAAGTATATATATTATATAATTTTTTTTTAAATGTATAATATATTTTAATTTTAGTTTATAAGAATTTTATATATTTTAATTTCTATAAATATATATTTTTTCTAAATATTTATTTTTTATTTTTTTTATTATAATCTCAAGAAAAATATATTTAGAAAGATCTAATTATATATAATATTTTATTTAGTTTTTTATATAGTGATGATCAAAAGTAATGATTCAGGGATTAAATTTACTAATAAAATATAGTAAAAATTGAAATTTTCTTTCTATATTAAAATTTATAATTTTAATAAGAAATAATTTTTATTTTTACTATGTTTTATTAGTAAATTTAGCCTCTGAATCATTACTTTTGGTCACCACTATATATATAATATATAATATTTATAAAGATAAAGAATAATAAAAAATAATATATAGATGATTCAATAAAAAAAATTATTATTTTAAAGTTAAATTAATTAATTAATTACAAATTATTAGTTTTTTTTTAAAATAATTATTTATTATATAATTATTTAAAAATATTTTATTTTATATATTATCTTTTTAATATGAATATTAACTTTAGTATAATTTTTAAATTATTAAAAATATATGCTTTTGCTAAGAATTATAATAATAAGAGATTTTTTAGAATATTTTAATAAGAATATATTTTTCTATTAGGATATAATAATTTTAATTAGATTATTTTTCTTTAATTCAGATCTTTATTTTACATTATCTGTATAATAAATTAGTTTTTGTATTATATTTTATAAAAATTAATTTTATTCTAGATATATAGATAATTATTTATGTATTTAATATATTAAAATTAGCATATTATTATATAGATAATCACTATACAGTGACGATCAAAAGTATTAACTTAGGGGCTAAATTTACTAATAAAATATAATGAAAATTGAAATTTTCTTTCTATATTAAAATTTATAATTTTAATAAAAAATAATTTTTATTTTTATATTAAAATAAAGTTTATTAGTTTAGTTTAACATACATTTTTTTCAGATTTTTTAGATTTTTTCTGAAAGAGTTACTCTAATTATAAAGTTAGTATAAAAATTTTTATTAATTAAATTTCATTTTTAATTAGTAAAAATTTTTGCACTAACTTTACAATTAGAGCAACTCTTTCAGAAAAAATTTAAAAAATCTGAAAAAAATATATGTTAAACTACAACTAATAAATTTTATTTTAATATAAAAATAAAAATTATTTTTTATTAAAATTATAAATTTTAATATAGAGAGAAAATTCAATTTTCACTATGTTTTATTAATAAATTTAGCTCTTGAGTCATTACTTTTAGTCATCACTATATAAATATTCTCTTAGCTACTTTTTTTATATATTATTATATTTGATTATTCATATTTATTAAAATAAATATTTTTTCTTTTTTTATTATATTAATATCTCTATAAATATATATATTTTTTCAAAATTAATATTTTTTTATATATTTAATTAATTTTAAAAACAAGATTTTTTAATATATATCTTTAAGTTATTGAAAAAGTATATTTTAAATAATTATTATCATAATTATATCTTATAATTTTCAAAAAAATTTTTATTATTTATTAAACTTTTGAGTTTTTATTTTTTTAAGAAGTTTATCTATCTTTACAAAGTGATTTCTCTATTTTTAAATATATTTTACTATATAATCTTTTTTATTTTATATAGTTTATATAATTTAATAATTAGTATTAATTTTATTTTTATTATCTAATTATAATTATAAAAATTAATATATACTTAGAAGATATAAATAATTATATATAAAAATATTATAATTTATTTTTATAAATTTTTTTATTAAGTATTTTTGATTAATTTTTTCTAAATAAACTTATAAATTTTTAAATAAAATTATTAATATATTAAAAATTTAAAAAATTAACTAAAAAATATATTGTATTTTTTATTTCTTTTATATATTTTTTTATTTTTTTTATTTTTCTTTCTTTATATTGTTATGATGAATCAGTAAGTGGATTTTTACTTTAATTCACCCTAACGATATAGGGTTGGGAGAGACTGAAATAATAAAAGATAATGAGAGGAGAATTAGACTATAACTTTTAATAATGACAAAGATTTCTAAGGCCTGTACCAATATCTATGGATATTATCTCAATAAAGAGTAAATAAATAAAGAAA